CAGGCTATAACTGACAACCTCTCCAAGGCCGCAGAGCTGATCGAAACCGGTACCCCGGTACTCGCGCAAGGGATATTGGCGCGGCTCAATCACCAGCTCTCTCCTCTTGGTAAGCCTTTCCAAAGGGCTGCTTTCTATTTCAAAGAGGCCTTGCAATTGCTCCTCCAAACCAACAACAACAGCAACGTCAACAACAACCACCCTTTTGCCTTGTCCTCCTCGTCGTCGCCATTCAATCTTATTTTGAAGATTGGGGCTTACAAGACCTTCTCCGAGATCTCACCGGTTCTTCAATTCGCAAATTTTACTTGCAACCAAGCCATTCTTGAGGCTACAGAAGGGTTCACTAGAGTTCATGTCATTGACTTTGACATTGGCTATGGAGGTCAATGGGCTTCTTTTATGCAAGAGCTTGCCTTAAGAAATAGTGGTGTCGGAAATGGGGTTTCTCTTAAGATCACCGCCTTTGCATCCCCGTCAACACACGACGAATTCGAGCTCGGTTTCACTCAGGAAAACCTCAAACACTTTGCTTCAGAGATCAACTTGGCGTTTGAGCTTGAAATCTTGAGCCTTGAGATGTTGAACTCTGGCTTGTGGCCACAGAATCTTCATGTCTCGGACAATGAGGCAATTGCTGTGAACCTCCCTATTGGTCCCTTTTCCAATTACCCTTTGTCCCTCCCTTTGGTCCTCCGCTTTGTGAAGCAGCTTTCTCCGAAAATCGTCGTCTCGTTAGAAAGAGGCTGTGACAGAACGGACGTCCCATTTCCTGCCCAACTCGTCCACGCCCTTCACTCCTATTCAGGTCTGCTCGAGTCTCTCGACGCCGTGAATGTCAACCTTGACGCGATGCAGAAGATCGAGAAGTGCCTGCTCCAGCCGGGGATAGAGAAAATCGTGCTGGGGCGCCACAGGAATTCGCTGGACAGGATGCTGCCTTGGAGGTCCGCGTTTTTGAACTTGGGGTTCTCGCCATTGACGTTCAGCAACTTCACCGAATCACAAGCCGAGTGCTTGGTGCAGCGGACTCCGGTTAGGGGGTTCCATGTTGAGAAGAAGCAGTCTTCTTCGCTTGTCCTCTGCTGGCAGCGGAAAGAGCTCGTCTCGGCCTCGGCCTGGAGGTGCTGAGAATGGTGAAAGTGAAGATAAGAAACAAAGAAAGAAGAACCGGCATTTTGACATATTGGTTCTCTCTACCAATTGATTTTTCTTCAGGTCATTTGGAGGTGCTTCATAACTTACTGCTTCTAGTTTTTATCCTTTTGGAAGATTTTTCTTTTTCCTGTGCTTCTTATGCTAATTGTCTATGTGCTGTAGGCCCTATTATTTTCCAATCAAGAACCAAAAACGTTTTAGTTAACTTGATTATGATGGCTTTGTACAGTTCTTGGATTCTCAGTCTCTTTCTCTACTTCTGATTTGGGTTATTATTTGTTGGTGTTTTTTGATGTTTCCATGATCATGTTGGTGACTGTTATTTGTTGTACATTTTGAACAACAAAGACAAAAAAGAAGAAAACATAAACCAAGAAGAAGAAATTTACCATTCAATGGTGATGTGCAATTTAATCATTTCACCAAATATCCTATTTGTTCTGAAATGCTCTCCAAAGTTGTCATCACAAATTCAGGTCTATTATGAAAGAGAGAACTATTATGCAATTAACCATACACAACGCGTATAAAATGTACGGTCTGTTTATAATTCAGATTGGCTCTGAAACTATAGTGACTAGTCTTTGTTAGCCAGTTTTGGTCCATCCATGGTATTTGTCACATATAGATTTGTAGAAATTTGCTTTTTGGATTTTGGTTCAGTTTTTTATAAGAGTATAGAGTACTTCTTTAAACCCCATTTGTTTGGTTCTCCGCTAGCTGGTCTCTACTTTTGGCATTCTCCTCAGCGCGGGACAAAGGGAAACTGTTTTAGCTAAGATTCAAGTACGAAGTTAGGGCAGCTTCTCTTGTAGCTTTGTCAATTTGTATCCATTTTGACCAAATTATATGTATCGGTCCCTAGATGTTTTTTGGTTATACGAATTGAGATTCAATAATTTGTTTCGGTAAGGCACATTGTTTTTGCCTTATTTTAAGCGAGTACATTTTTAACGCAGATATTCATAAATAAGGCGATTCAAATTTTGTCAACCGGCTAATAAAACTTGCTTTGCTAATAGGGCAAAGCATGGAATTTTCCTAATTAGATTGGTGATTAAGTTCCTCAGACGTTTCAATTCCGGTCTCCAAGATAGGATGTTTGCCTAAATTCCCTCTTGCTTGATACATGCATTTCCAAAGCTCCAATTTTTAAAAAATATCTTCCGGTTAATGTCAATTATAGAGGTGTTTTTTATTATCACCCTCATCATATTGTTTTTTTTTCCCTCCCTCATGTATTTATTATATCTTATATTAGACATGATTTATCATTCTAGTTATGCATGCCAAAGCCTACCATACCATACATTTAAGGCCTCGTTCACTTCACCGATTCAAGTTTTTAGTTTTCGGTTTCTACAGTAAAAAGCTATCAGAAAATGTCACATCAAAATTTTCTGCTACAGTAAAAAAGCTCTCAGAAAATGTCACATCTCAGCTTGAATCGAAAACTCGAATCCGCAAAGTGAACGAGGCCTAAGTTAGTTTTTGTTAGCCTGAATATTTTTTTATTCCCCCCTTAACGAAATCACATGGGTGTTGTACCACTGGACCCCCACATGATTAGGTTAGACTTTTTCTTTTTCAGCACCTTGGAAGCTCCTCATTTAACTATACTTTTTTTTTTGGTTGAACATCATCATAATATTAAATGATTAAAGCCATGTTGCATGAATAAAACTCTTTGCCTTTCCTTGTATTTAGTATCATTATTACCTGTTATATATAATATAAAGTTTTATTTTTTTCCCCCCTGGACTTGTTGCAATATAGAAACTGGCCAAACAGGACGGCTTCACGGACAATTATGAATAATATATTATAGAGGGAAAAATTTGGGGTTTCTTTAATTAATTATTGCTAAACTATGAAATTCAATATAAAACTCTTATGTGTCAAAGGGTATTAAATTATGGGATTAGGTTATATGTGCCCTTCCTAAGGGAATAGAACACTGGTCCAACAAGGCAACAAAAAGGTTTGCAAAATTACCCTTTTAACATTTGGAGGGACAAAGTAGAGTACCCTTGACAATTAACAAGATGGGCAAGCCTTTATTTTAAGGTTGAGTACTCTTCTAAGTAAACTCAAAACTTAGTTGTCCTCGTGACCAAGTCATCCTTTGGCATATCCTCAAAAAGAAACATAAAAAGAATATTTGTTACCATCACGATTGAAGCAATATAACATGTAAAGTTGAAGCCTTATTTATATTGCTTGTTTTCTGACGTGGCTATTTGTGTAGTTTTTTTTGTCTTATAAGATGACCTTAAGTTTAACCACTAATAATACCATTGAGGAATGGCTTGTCTTCAAATATTTGGTGAGTTCATTTTTAAAAAGAGTAAAAGAAGGAAATAAATTATATATGTGTGTGTCTATATATATATATATATATATAGAGGGAGAGAGAGAGAGAGAGAGAGAGGGATGAAGGAAAAAATCAACATGGTGTATGGAGAGGTCTCTTTCATTTTCCCACTACTTCCATCGTCCCTACCCCACCAAAAAAAAAAAAAAAGTTGGCTTTCTAAGACCTTGTTTGGGGTTGAGATTGAAGTTCTTTAAAAGATGTAATGATACTATTCTTTGATGTTTTGATTTATTTCTTAGCATTATTAAGGTTAAAGTTTTATGTAGTTATATTGAATTCATTGCATCGTTAATATTAAATTTCATTGAGACTATATAATTAACTAACACAAGAGTTTCAATCAGAGATCATACGAGTTGTTAAGTTTTATCCATCTCAACTGATTGAACTAATAAACATAAGGGTTTGATTGAGAAATGTTATTAAAGTATCCATGAATAATTTATTACTAATACAATACAATATGCAACAACGAATCATTCTAATGTCAATTTAAATGTGAGTTGCTAATTGTTTAAAGCAAAAATATAAGAGTGACAAACGTCATCAATCATTTTTTTTTAAATTTTAAAGCAACAATATAGAATTAATTTTTTTAACGATATTTAAAGCAAAATACAGAACTCACTTTTGCTCTATAAAACTAATTTCTACCCTAAATGATTCAACTTGAAGCACAAACACTCTGACTGGTAAGACGCGGGAGGATGAAAAATAGAAAAGAAGGAAAAAGGTAAAAGTCAAGCGAGGAAAAAAAAAAGAAAAGAAAGAAAGTGTTTGATACAACATAATGAAAAGAAGAAATAAATTATCTATTAAGTCTATTTTATTTTTTGGCAGAAATGTCTATTTTATTATTAATTCTTGTCCAAAGTGAATAAATAAGATGTAATTGATAAAATATATATTTCCCAATGCACACACGATTTATTTTGTGAAATATTTTATCTTTTTTTTTCCTTTTTAAAGGATTAAAAAAATAATGGGGATCATGCATTATTTTTCACTTTTTTTCTCTTTTAATTTCTTCTCTAGCAAATAACCTAATACTTTACTCAAATATAAAAAAGACCAATATTCTCTTTCTTTTGTTTTTTTTTTTGGTCTTCCCTCTATTTCTTTTTCCTCCCACTTTTTTAGCCTACCAAACATAACGCAAGCATGTTTTGATGCTTTGTTTATGGGGTCGGTATCATTCATTTTACTCGTTTAAGTTAAATTAAAAAATAAATTTATGTGAGAAAAAATACTGTAAAAAAAATTAAATTTAAATTTTTATGAGAAAAATATTATAAGAAAAACTTGTGATTCAAATTAAGAAAACAAACGGGGAACTCATAATCCAAGTTAATGTTGCTTCAAATTTCAATTGGAGAGAAGATAGAGGGAGAGAGAAGTTTCTAAGGCCTCGTTTACTTCGCAGATTCGAGTTTTCAATTCGAGTTGAGATGTGACGTTTTCTGAAAGCTTTTCACTGTAGCAGAAAAAGTTAAATGTGACATTTTTTGAGAGCTTTTTACTGTAAAAATTAAAACTGAAAACTCGAATAGGTGAAATGAACAAGGCCTAAGTCTAAAAAAGTTTATTTTTTTTTATTTTTTTTGGTTTCTAATAATTGGAGTTTTATAAGGTGGAAGAGGGCCTACTAAAGCTTACTGTGAAGCAAATAGCAAATGCCAATCCGACGATTTTGACCGATTGTCTTATGTGTTTGCATGACTGGGGACACACATTGAAGATGACGTGATTGCTCCTGCTTAATCAATTGTCGTCTGGGTAGGACCCACTAGAATGAATGGTCGTAGTCGTATATCCCACGTGTAGGGTTGATGATACAATAAGTTTTCTGACACAATTTTTTTATTTTATTTTTTTCGTTCGAGTAACACAAGAACAACAATCCAAAAATCTACGGACAGCATTGAAGACAATTAAGGGGACGCTTTCCCATCGTTGAATCCCTTAATTTAAATTTTTAATTTAGATTAGGATGTGATTTTATATAAAAATTTTAATTGTAATAAAAAAAATTAGATGTATTTTTTATGAGTATCCTAAACTATAATAAAATTTAAATTAATAAAATAAATAAGATTTATTTATGCCTCAAAGTTAAAGCTATATCTGGTAATGAACACAACACCATATGCCTCCTAACATGATAATTCACACTCCATCATGAAATATCTCAATCATGTTGATCAGGTTGTCTGGACCGTCAGATCAAAGCTATCTTTTTTTTTTTTTCCCCGAAACTTTTACACCCAAATGGTATTGAATATTTTCTGCAGTTGGTTTCTAGTACTAGTTAAGTCAACATTAGTGGCTTCTTGAAAAATTGTTTTAACTTCCGAGGACTTTTTGTTGGGTTATGAAAGAAATTACTGTACAATTTTATACCGTCAAATCTTCGACAAGTTTCAATAACTCTATTTTTTAGTAATGTTATTAAACTTCAAGATCCCATGGCTCACATTACAAAGGAGTGACCCCACGTATAAGGTAGGGCCTAAGTTTATTTTACGTGAGGAGTCTGTTTAGTTTGTTAATTTGAGTTTTTAATTTAGTTTGTTGATTTGAGTTTTTAATTTGAATTTAGATGTGATTTTATATGAGAATTTTTTACTGTAATAAAAAGTTAGACATAATTGTTTTTGAGAGCTTTTTACTGTAATAAAACTTAAATTTTAAACTCAAATCAGTGAAATAAACAGAATCTTAATATGTGTCTTTTGAGTTACGTGTGATGTAGAATTTTCCAGTAGGATAGAGAAAAATTACTCTATAAGTAAGACACAATTTTTAAGAGTCATTTTTGTTATATTTTG